GATGGATGGATGGATGGATGAGTAAGTTTCAAAAGCAACTCTAAACGTGGGCTTTTAGTTGAGAGGTCTGGAAGATACAACAATATCAGAGCTTGTTTAAGTCAATTTATTAATATTCACGAAGAAGTACTAGTTCTAATGGCAGATTATTTTACTTATAACTATAGTTCTTCATCAATATTAAGGATTTATTGATTTATTTGGCTGAAAAGTTACTTCTAAGTTAGTGTTGTCTTATTTCAAAATATTTACACTAGAAACTAGACCAAAATGTTTGGTAATATTTTGTGTTTTTGCAGTGTGACCTTTACAGAGACGATCATGAGCAGGTTTGGTTTTCTTCCTTCCTGTTGCCCCCTGTGGCTGCAGTGATGGACATGCAGTCAAGCTTGCGGCTGCCTGCCTGAATCTCATCGTTTTCCAGGGGGGGGGGTAATGGGGGGACAGCATGCCCAGATCCATTAAGGTGAGCGGAGAGCACGGTCTCAGATTTGTGACCCCGCCACATATTGGTCCAGTAATGAAACCAGGACAGACAGGGGAAAAGTTGGAGGGAAGCTAAGGAAGACGGACAGAGATGATGTGATTAGAGATGATGCCTGACAGGTGTGAAGACCCCACTGGAGATTGTTAGTGGGCAGTAATCCTCCCTCCCACAGACAGAACAATGTTCAAGTCTCCACACTGTGATGGATGTGTTGCTAAATAAAGATTGACACCTCAGTGATGTAAATCTCTGGGTAGAAAGTATGTGGCGGTGTTATTAGGAAGCTTTTTTTTTGTTTTTCTGGAGGAACTCCTCTGACTGGCTGGAGCCGGGTGACAGACGGAGGATGTTGGCTCAGAGCTGTAACACCCAGTCATTGTACGGCGGCTACACCGTCGCTGTCTGTGTACAGAACAGACTCATAGCAGATTCTCAGCAGACAGGAGGAGCTTTATCTGAGGAAATTCACATCCTGACAGACATTCACATATAAACATGTACATGGATTGCCTCGGTGAGATATTTGCAGGTGAGAGGAAAGCAGTTAAAGTCTTTTCTGGAAACATGTATGCTTTTATTTTTAAGAAAATTAATGAAGTCATCATAGTTCTTGGACGCTTGGTTTGTTTTGTTATAGAAGTTTTAAAGGGGCAGTATTATTTATTTTCCATTTTATAGCACAATCAAGGAACTATGATTACTTCAGTTGTCAAAGAATGCTGTATATATCAAATTTTTTAATGCCTTGAAATTGGGCTTGTGTCTCTTTAAAAACTCCTGCTCTTTCTGAAACTCCTCTCCCTTCAGGAAGTCATCATAACATGGTTCCTCTATTAACCCTTAACAATGTTTTTACCAGTGTTGCACTGAGAAGTAGCTCCTGTAATGAGCTCAGCTGATGCACAGTTCCACCAGGTGTTTGCTAATTGCTGCTGGCTAGTCTGAAGGAGCAGAGTGGGGGATTTGCTGGGGATGGCTGTTCTGTGAGGCGGAAGTTTGGAAACTGCAGCTCCGAGGAGGAGTGATGCCTCGAAGGCGGCACTGGGTTGAACATTTTCGACTTTTGCTACTCAGAAATTGCCTTGTTTTTTACTCAAAAAATTCTGAGATTAGTCTCAAAATTTCTGAGTTGCGGCTAAAAGGAGGAGCTTTGTCCTCGAAGGCGCGGCTAGGTCCACCCAGGCGTCTTGCACAACTTCTTAAACATGCATGAAAGAATCACAGCAACATTTCAGGTGTGTTTTTGATGAGGGAATAACATTAAATATGATGAAAAGCTCAAAATGTCAATTTTACATGGCACTGCCCCTTTGACTAGACACAAATAAATCAGAGGAGGAAGGCGGGTCGTTTCATTAAGATTATGAACCACCAAACGTTCTTCAGCAACCTCTTACTGAATATTTAATTTTATAAATATCTGTGCTAAGTAGTTTCTGAAAAGTTGTCTTGAAAGTCCGGTTTGTTGGAGTTAACGTGTAATTGAACTCTAAGCGGACCAAAACAGCGAAATCTGGTCCGCTTACAAACATCGATCTCGGTTCAGTTGAAGTGAACTCTGTTGGTTTGGAGACCACTCCAAAAGCAGGAAGTGGACTACAGTGCAGGGCATTCTGGGTAAACACAACCAAAACAACCACTAGAATCTGTAGCTAGCAGGAGAAATGTCTTTGTCTTTTACTAAAAACAAAATAAAATTCCTACAACCGTTAAAATTCTAAACAAAAACTCCATTTTTGTTTAGATTTTGTGAAGAAGGAAGATTAGCTCAGTATCTTCTTCAGAGGCTTTTTGTGTCGTTTCGTTTAGTGGTTTTCAGCGCATCACCCCCACTGGCGGGGAGGGGAAAAGGTTTTTCAAAGATTTGGTTTGTTTGACACAGTGCAGTGAGAGAGTGAACTGCAGCAGCTGAAAATGTAACAAATTTTGCAAATTTGTTCCCAAATCGAACTGAGTTAAGTGTAAAAGAGAAGCACAACCTTCCCTGGCATCTAATTAAACATCGACATACAATTTATAACACAGGCATTCTTATTTTTATAAAAGAACAGAGCGTCTTGTTTTGTGAGGCTACATACAAATAAAATCTGCTTGACTTTTACGAGAAACGAGGACGCATTAAATTTCTTCCCACTTATTGACTGAACCCTTTTAAAATGGGTGCTGGGGTTGTAATACTCGTTTGGGAAGATTTGTTTTCTTTATTTCAGATCTGATCGAGTCTCGGTCGGGGATGTAACCTTTTAAAAAGCTTTCATGAGCCCTCAGGAGCTCATCATGCCACTTTACTTTCAGCATCTGAAATCAACAACTGCTGCAGCTGATTGTTTGAAGATGTTATTTACGGAGGTCAAGAGGCTTTTCCGTAATGCTGTCAGGCAGCGGGGGGTCGAACTCAGACTCTGAGTGTGTCTGCTCTGTCATGAATAATTCATCAAGCTGTTATTATCAATCTGTGGGGAAAACACGGCATTGATTTGCATGAATATTTCAACAACCCACCCTGACATCAAAGTGTTAATGGAGGACACCCCGAGTAAGTGGGTGTGCATGTGTTATCATTAATGAAGTGGGCCCTGGTGGCCGGTGCTTGGCCCCCAATCTGGGTTTCTGCTGGAGACAAAATAATAATCTGTCCGGCTTGATGAGAGGCCAGGAAGACGTTTGAAACAAATCTGTGATTAACCTCGCATCCAATTTGGGTTTCTCTCTAGTAAGGCAAAGTTTACCTGTTAAAAGTGACCTATTATGCTTTATTGAAGAGGTTAGGGTAGGCGATACAAAACTTAATTACATTTTATTTTGCATAAAATCATTATTAGATCATCATAGTGCCTTTCAAATGTGCAAAATTCACATTTAGTGAGTTTTTATACTAATATTTGAGTCTCAACTGCTTCTAAAAAGAGTCCAATGGTTAAAAAATGTTATAGCATTGGTGTCTGGAAAATAAGCCATTTTAAAAACTTCAGAATATAAAGTTACACTGCCCGTCACCTAGCAAGCTGAGCTCCAGCATGCTTGGTCAGCTGGTTCTTCCACTGTACAGTGGCTGCTGGAAAACTTACCATCCCAAAAACACTTGCTGCATTCTTGTTAACCGTACATCTTTGCTTTTCAAAGGTGTACGGTTGTAAAATTGCACATTTGTACAGATTTTGAGGGGCCGTGGCCAACAGCAGCATATTTAGATTTAAAGTGGCAAGAGGCCCTAAAACAGCTCAAACTAGGCAGAACTGAGATGTCATTGTGTAAGAATGATGTCATGGATCTATCCTAACCTGTTCAAGGAAGCATAACAGGTCACCTTTAGCAATCGGGTGTATTTTCCAGACACCAAAAGACGTTAACTTATTGTCAAAAAAAACAGCTTGGTGTTTCTTTAAGCACTTTGGCTGTTTTTAGAAGCAGTAGAAACCCAAATGGAAGCATAAAAACGTACTAAATGTGAATTTTGCCTGATAAGTTGACATATCTTGTCTCCTCAGATGACAGCGCGTCGGCAGCCAGCAGCATGGAGGTGACGGACCGCATCGCCTCCCTGGAGCAGCGGGTCCAGATGCAGGAGGATGAGATCCAGCTGCTCAAGTCCGCTCTGGCCGACGTGGTTCGGAGGCTGAACCACTCAGAGGAGCAGCAGGCCATGGGGTCGCGCAGAGGACCCACCAAAGGTAGCACAGAACCAGAACCTTCACTTCTACCTCTGCTTTGTTTCTCCTTACATGATTTTATCTGTTGGTGGAGCTTTTCCTTTACGTTTCTCCCACCTGCTGAAGTTACTTCAGATTCTGCTTGACTCCTCTGACCAGCTGTCACTCTCTTCTCCTCCATGACTGTGTTGTTTTGTTAACTGCGTTGTGCGATAGAGCCCACTAAGATGAGAAAATCTCCATCAGCAGACAGCAGTTTTGGCAAGTCAGGTAGGCCGGCTGTAGCTTGTCTGCACTCACCGGGCCTGTTGTGCACTTTTCAGTCGTTGCCTGCAACATTTCACCTCAATATGCTGCACAATGTTCAGATTAGAAGACAAATTTAATTTACTATAACTTGTAGTTTATATATTGTTTGTAACACTCTAAGAACATTTTACACCTAACTATGCTGCTAAACCTGAATTTCCCCCATATGGGACAATAAAGGTTGCTTCTGTTTTTACTACATACGTTAATAAGAATAAATAATTTATTCACATTACACAAAATGAAAAATGCAATCTTTCTAAAATATTTTATTTGTAAATGTAACATTTATTTACTATAAAGTTTGTCATGTTCAGAAATTGATGTCTAATTCTTTTTATGTGTATCTGGAAAGATTTAATTTCACTTCAACAAGAATGAAAAACAAAACTGTTTTTTACTTGAGGAAAAAGTTTGGACACCCTAAAGTAAGGAGGAGCAGCTTTCATCATTTTCCTTGAAAATTATGGCGTCTTGATTTTTTTCACCTTCACACCTGCAAGTTAAACTCTGCTGCTGATGATTTTTGATCTGCACTTGTTGGCTGCACTTGTTGCATTGTTTTGCATGCTGCCACTGCTGCTGTCTGTCTGCCTGCATGCCGTCAGCTTCTGTTCAGCCGCTCCAGAACCAACGTTTGGGCTCAGATGTCAGGAAGTGATGATATCTGACTCAATAGCTGATCAGCTCATGCAATTTTCTTTGTTGAAAATACAATCTTAAACATTTATACTTAATTTACACAAATTATAAGAATGTAGGACACTGAGAAATGGTGAAAGTGAGTGAATTTATGTATTATACAGCATCTCTCTTATTGTGACCAACTTTCACTATTGTGTTGTGTTGGTGAGTTGGTTTGGGGAAATGACTGATTGTTTCCTATGAGTCAGATTCTCCTTTTCTCCACCAGATTATCCTGCTGCCCAGTGTTTCTTATTCTTCTTTGACATTTTCTGTAAAACATGATAGGTCTCATTTTTGTATCTCTGTTTAATAAAATCTCTCCATGTGTTTGTGAAGCTGATCTATTATGCTTCCTTGAACAGGTTAGGATTGGTTTGTGAACTTTAAAAAACATGTTTATTACATTTTTACACAAAATAATCCTTAGATAATTAGAGCCTCCAACTCAACGTTTACACTCGCGCATGAAAATGGCAGCAAACAGATGGACAATTATACAACCGTACAGCTTTGAAAAGCAGAAGTGGAGCTTCCTGCACAACCAACAAGAATGCAGAAAGTGGTTTCTGGGTGGTAACTGAACAACCAAACAGAGAATAAAGCAGTAAGACCAGCTGACCAGACATGCTGGAACTCTTGCTTGGGTTGCTAGGCGATGGGCTGGGCTGAGGTTGCTAGATAGAGCAGCTAGAACTGCTTTAGAACTGATTTATTGGAAAATTATCATGAAAATAGTACAAACTACTGGATTAATGCTGTAGTTCTAAGGAAAATGTTTTTAAAAAATTAATGAGTTATGACAACGTTTATTTTCCTCTTTGGATGAATAAACTATTTTTAAATCTGAATCTGTCGTCGCATTAAAGGATGTGGATAAATGTAACTACATTTATCCACATTCACTACATTTAAGGCTTAGTGATAAATATTAGGGCAAAAACAATTAATCGCATTAACCATGATTAATTATTTTATTATTAAATTATTAATTATTCCTTAAAAGAACTGCCAACTCATTTATTGGTTGATTAATTGTTGACTGGAATATACTGACTCAAAAAAGGTAATTCTGCTGAAAACAATAACTTATTCAGAGCAGTAATAAAGTCAAAATCGAACAAAAAATTATATACATTTAGTATTTAAGATTAAAAAGATTAAACACAAATTTTAGTTTCACCTGGTTAAAATAAACTGGCACCTTTTTCAATCAAATTATTAATCGGCTAATCAAAAATAAATGAAGCAGAAAGAGTGGATCTTTTCACATGTTGATGTTAGAAATACATACTTTTTTTAGCATCTTTTGCATTAATAATCTAATATTTCCTAAAGGAACGCTGTGTCATTACATTTTAGGAAATAAAATATTTTTCTTATTTTCTTATTTAAAAAGCAAAATTATTTGTTTCCATCTTTTAGTGTATTTCTAATATTAAAAAAAGATTTAATTTGTTAGCTGAAAAATCTGCCAAATGTGCCAATTTTTTATTCGATTAATTGATTAATCATTAGAATAATCAACTAAGAATAATCGTTATCTGCAAGGCCAATGAATATGAACACTTTTGGTCTTCCTTAACTTCATAATTCAACATTTTTATAATTACAAGAAATTTATCAGAATGGCGAATTCTCCTGGAAATAATGTGTCCAAATCCAGTAAGTGGGCTTAATAAATCCTCAAGAATAATGTCAACATCCAAACAGTAGCTTAATGTTACGAAAATGTAAATCCTGCTATAAAGTAACCAGTTTAGTTCTTTATATTTGTTATTTTCTCCTCCTTCGTCGCTGATGTAAACGTTTCGCCGCTGCAGCCGACGCTCCTCACCGTCCTGCTTGTTGTTTGTCCTCCAGCCAGGCCGATGATCGCCACTCTGCCGCTGCGGCCCACGGTCAACAACGGGACCGTCCTGCCGAAGAAAGGCAGCAGCACCCTGCCCTCCCCGTCTGGACCCGGGACCAGGAAGGACGCCGGCCCGGCAGCCAACAAGAGGTCAGGAACCAAAACAAAGGGAGTACCGTCCTGCGACGGAGTAACAAACTAATACAAAAATTTAATTATTTGCAACTTTATTCTCATATTATTTTATTTTTATTTTTGTAATATTACAATTTTATTCTTATAATTTTATTAGTTTTATTTTCTTAGCATCGCCCTAATACTCCGTCATACTATTCAGCAGATTGATAGATTTGTTTTTTTATTTCACTTTATTAAACATATTTTTGCTATTTTTATGAAGAATTCAGCAGGTTTTAAGTGCTGAAACCATTAACCGAATTAATTGTGATTAATCGATTATTAAGATAATTGTCAACTAATTTAGTGACTGATTAATCGATTAACTGGAGTAAAAAGACTCTAAAGAACCATTTGCAGGAAGAGCAACATGGCTAGAACAATAACTAAAAGCTGTTGGAAAAATATATATATATTTTGCATTTAACATTAATGTTGTTTTAAAAAGGAATTAAATTGTTTGCTTTTTATTTGATTACCCGATTAATCGTCAGAATAATTGGGAAAATATTTGATTACTAAAATAATCTTTAGCTGCAGCCCTAGTTTTATTAATGCTGTTGTAAATCTTCGGTCCACACAGCCAAGTTGCTTTGTGTTTCTGCCGTTTGAACTCTCACATTTCAGCTTTTCTACCAGCCAAATTCACTGACATTTAACGAGACTGATGCAGAGAGAGACTTCTTTGTCACTTCGGTGTGTGTGTTCACGTGGAGGTCAAGCTACAAATTAAGTCTGCCAGGGGAACAAAAGTCTTTTCCCGTTCCTGGATGACATTAACATAATCAGATGAGGAGCAGCTCAGTCCAAACAAACCTCCCAGCTCTAATACCGTCTGCAGGTGTTCACTAAAATTAGAGGGAAAAGTTTCTAAAAGAATCATTCTTAGTGAGAATCAGTCTGCTCAGTTCTGCCTGTATTGAGCTGTTTTAGGGTCTCTGTCACTTTAAATCCAAATAAGCTGCTGCTGGCCACGCCCTGGAACTCAGCGTATACACTCGCACGTCAAAATGGCTGCAAATATGCAAAACTATATAACCATACATGTTTGAAAAGCAAAAGTGGAGCCTCCTGCACGACCAACAAGAATGCAGCAAATGGTTTATAGATGGTAAGTCAACAAATAAACATGCATCTTTTCCAGCAGTGGTAAAATGAGCTGACCACTTGTGCTGGATCTCCATTTTGGGTTGCTAGGCAACAGGGCTACTAGACTTGGCTGTGGTTGCTAGGTAACGGCAAAGGATTTTTGTTCCTCTCTGCAGTTTTTCCAGAAACTGGGACCTTGATTTTCAAATGAAATGCAAAATCTAATGTCAGAATTGGAGTAACAGTTCAATCCTTTTCTCCTTTGATCAAATTAAGATTCTTCCTACACTGACTCCAGTTCTGGAGTAACAATAATAAGGAATGCAGCAGGTGTAGCCCATATCCTGAACATTCCCTGTAACTCACTAGAATGAGACTTTCTTTAATAATCCCAAGTTCCTGCGATATGTTTTTCTTCCACTAAACTTTCCCTTGGTATACTTATGAACTGCCTGTTTCTTTTATACAATTTTTTGTAGTGACAGTCTGCTGGAGAACTGTCAAATTAGCAAAAGCTCAAAAATTAAATTGCTACTTTCTTAGAGAAATTTCACTGTAAGAGTTTTTTTGAGCTGGAAAACTGAAATAAATGTTTCTATTCTCCAGCTGAGTTTTTTCCCCTCCTCGTGCATCGTGTTTGTTTTCCAGACACATCCTCTCCTGCAGCCTGTTTTTGAAAGCATCTCCTGTTTTCATCTCATGTTTTGTCCTGTTGTTTCTTCCCACCAGAATGTTGTCCCTCAGGTGAGAGTCAGCTAACATCACCGCCATTTAAAACTAAAACTTCACCTTCTGCCATTTCACCTCCTGAACTGCAAAAACAAAAAACCTTACCAAGTTATTTTGGTTCAAGTCTCTACTGCAAATAACTTAGTACACTTGAAATAAGACAAAACTAAGTTACAAGTATTTTTTTAGCAAGATATAGGACTTTGTTTTAAGTCAATAATTCCTTAATATTTATGAAAGTTCTAGATCCACTGGCAGATTAATTCAATTGAAACATGAGAAAAATGTCTTGTTATAAATTTTATAATCTGCCAGTGGAACTAGAACTTTTTAATCAAAATTAAGGAATTATTGACATAACTTGCTAAAACATTACTTTAAAGTTAGTTTTGACTTATTTCAAGTGTACTAAGATGTTTGCACTTTGAACTAAAAACATTTGGTAAGATTTTATGTTTTTGCAGTGCAGGTTGTGTTTTTCTATGTCCTGAACTAATCTGATCAACAGAAGCATTCAAAACATTTTAATCTGACTTTAATCTGTTCATATTAAACACACATCTCTGTGTTATGACTGCATGAGAGTTTTATATATGTATGTGTAATAATTGTGAAAGATTTTTCTTTGGCACAGTAAATTAAACAGGCATATAAATGCATGTTTTTAATTACACTTTTCAGGTAAATTCTGAATTGGTAAGTGATAAATTTAATTTAGGGATTAAATAAGTTTTCACTTTTTCAAAAAAAAAAAATACTTTGTAAGATTTTGTGTTTTTGCAGTGTGTAAACATAGACAGTTGGATTTTAGTGCAACTTTCTCCCACTGACTCACTGATGTTTGTATTAATTTAAGCTTCGTCGCAGTCGCTTCCCGACTCGCTGCAGCCTTTAAAGCCCTGCGGTCCAATTAGGACGCCGTGATTCCTCATGGGAAAAACAGAGCAAACAGTTGTTCCTCTCTGCTGCTTTGAATAAAAACACACACAGTCTGTGCAGAAGGGATAAAAGCCAGCGGCGAGTTTCAGGTTCTGGACAGACTGGATTAGATGACCTGTCTGCCTGCTGACTGCTGATTTGGCTCTTTTTTTTGTTGTGGAAAAAAGACCGGCTGCCCTCATGCAGATCTGCACAGCGCTGCTTTTATTCTGACACGTTGTTGGTTTAAATAAACTGAATTCCGGTGGAGAAATACAATCTTTTCATTTTGCACTTCAACAAATTCCAATGTTTTATGTATTTCAGCCGGTTTGATGCAGATAATAACACTGACTGAGCAAACACCTTTTTATTTGCGGCCTAATTTGCCGCTTGTTGCTTTGGAAGGCAGTGAAGCGAACTTAATTTATTGTGACTGTTTTATATGTTTGTATGTTTTTAGGGTAGGATCAGCAGTCCTTGAAACAGGAAAATAGATTATAGTACGCTTTCTCTGCAGTAGGAGGTGGTAATTTTCCCAATCTGAATACAAGTTGTTGTTTTACCAAGACTTATAAGAACAGAACAGATTTTAATTCTTTTTAATTTTTACCTTTGTTAGAGGAGGTATAAAAATACTGTATTTAGTCCAGGGATGCAAACCACAAATTTCTATTTTATCTCTTTGTTAATACAGCTGACACAAAATAATGTTAAATTTTAATAGCTTTTTAAAAAATTCAGCATATCATGAAACATTTAGCCTGCCATATCAAGTCTGAGCCCTCTTGAATCAAGAGAAAACTCAGATTCTTAAGAAAAGCCGCTTCTCAATTAATCATTAGTCGATAAGATAAATCAACTTTTTATCAGCTCATTAATCGATAACTTGCATCCCTAATTTCAGCAGTAAAATGAGAGATTGTTGCTGATGGAGCATAAAAACAAATGTTTATGGATAAAATCTTTGCTTGACTTCTCACAGACGCTGCCGTCAGGTAATTTTACGGCCCATTATTCTGTCTGCCGCCACTCACTGGTTTTGCTTCTTGTGTCTGTCCTGCAGCACTGTGAGGAGAGCCAACTCAAACGAACACGTGGGGACTCTCACTCGCAAGGACTCGGGCGACTCCAAGGGGAACCGGACCCGGGCCGGGTCAACGGGCAGCAACTCCAGCGGCAAGAGAAGCGACAGGTAAACCCAAACCGCAGGCACTACCTGCATTTCCAAATGTGTGGAAATCTTTGTCAATATTCTCCTAATGTAAAAAAACAAACAAAAACAATTTTACAGTTGCTGAATTAAAATAACACGTGAATCATGCCAGCGACGGATGTGAACAGTAAGGTGCATTTATAATTCAGTCGTCAGAGGAAACGTCGGCGTCTTATTC